ATTCAGCGCATCAGCATACAGCTGACTTCCCTCCATCGTGGACCGTCGAGCATAATTGCCCGACGCCCCAGAATCGATGAGGGTTTTCCATGGCTTCTCGAAGCCCTGTACGGTCGCCTTCACGACCATCAAGCTCGGCTTGTATACACGTTCCGTGTTTAAGAGCACAGAGCTCTTCGGAGCTGGGCCCTGTTGACCTAAGCCTCCCTGAGGCTCAACATAACTCAGTTCTTTTTCAGTAGGTCGCCCCGCGCCTACTGAGTGGTGTCGTTTCCCCGCGACGAACCAGTCTGGTAGGCGTTGTCGAAAAACCTTGACGCGCCTTGCGCAGGGGGCAACCGTTCCGAGGGTGACGGGTGTCTCCACAGACAAAACAACGTCGTGTATTTGCGCGCTGCCCGGCAGCTCGGAGCTCTGCTCCCTCGTCCTCAGCATAGCTGCGATCCATGGGCATAGGTCCACTCGACGAGCTGTTGGAGTGTGCATTCAAACCAAGTCGCGCCGACTTGATATTGATTTCGGCATTCAATGCCACATTCACCGCCTCTTCAAATGAAGACGGATGCACTCGGACGACTTCCATTCTGGCCACGCCAGTGCGGAGGCCTTCCATAAAGCCGGTCACTGTGACCGCCTCCGGAAGGGGATCTGCTGCCATCCCGGCAATGAGAGTACGCATCTCTTGGACAAAGTTCACCAATTCCTTGTTGCCCTGTCGGGCGGCAAGGAAACGCGATCGCACGCGATACGTCTGATTAGGTGGTGAGAGCACTCGAGTGAGCTGCATATTCAGCTACGCCCGGAGGGAAACGCAGCTCCGACCGAAGTGCCGCACGGCAGTGCCCACTCTCGCGCTCGACCACCAACCTTGGAGATGGCTAGCGCCACGCGCTGTTGATCGGTTTGGAGCATGGCGGATGCGATCGATGGCCATCTCGACCTCTCTCACCCAGAACAGAAGCTTTGCTCCATCCTTCCCCCCAAAGACCTTAACGCTCACCATGAGCGGCTTAGGTCGGGGGAAGTCATCCGTCACTGACAAGACGCAAATGATGCCGACATCTTCTGCTGCAGGAGCTCTAGCAGCGCGTTTCGTAATTTGAAAACGCCTCTAGACGCGAACCGATTGTCTCGGGGCCTTGTGCTACAAGGTGTTGCACGCCCTCAGGGCCAAGCAAGGACATCAGCTTATTAAGCCCGTCCTGCATGCCCTGGGGAAGAGAGGAAAATTCCTCCATCCTCACAGAGAATCAGTCCAAACGACTCAGGTGTAGATTGACTACAAGTGCTACCAAGTGCAGCGAAGCTGCCGTAGTTTAGCGCTTGAGGAAGTGTGCTTTAGGTCACCAGTTTTTCGTTCTTTACAAGAACTAAGTATGAGTTAGCGGATCGCAATCCGCTTACTCCAAGAGTAATTATTGCCTTCCCAAGGCTAATTGACTCTTCGGTTCAAATCCAAAACTGATTTTTATTTATTTTTATCTTAATTTCAAAAGTTTAGATTTTCATAAATATACTAAATATATATAGTAAAATCTAAATGCATGCATAAATACTGGCTACCTAGCCCCGTACCGTATTCTTGCTTGGGTATGGTCACACCATGCACATCTCGTGTGACACACACCCCTGTTACCAGGGTACGTGTAACCCTGTTACATATGGGCTGCGGTCAGATCCCGTAAAGCAAAAGTTGGCTAGCATCTTCCTCCCAAAGAATTTGAGGAAGCGGCTAGGCTAAGTCAGCTACTTGCACAACTACAGTACAAGCTTTGCGGAACCGACACAATCCCTCGCCAGCTTATCACATACAAGTTGGTGTACGAAGCGGACTTCCGGGTCAAATACACCTCGAGAGCAGTGGTTGCTCGTTGACCGAATACTTTTGGGCAGTGTCTTAAAAATTGAAATAAGTGTTAGCCCCAGTGTGATCCATAGATCACGTCGGCGATGTAACGAGCCAAGCTTACTATCTTTTGTACTTGGGCTATAAGCTTGTTACAATTGTGCAAAATTCACTTTACGTTTGGTTGAATTGTTAACATGTTTCTGAATAGCGAGGTATCTGTAATTATGCTGATAACCTCCTAAAAAGAGTAGTCAGAGGCATGAGCTCTAACGCACATCTGGTTAGAAATATGTTATTGTGAGAGATTGCTCTAAAAAAACACATCAAGCTTATTGTGCTGATTACTTTTGAGGCGCTCGGCATCTGCGTGTCTTTTTACTTAAAGTCAAAGCCTTTTCTGTGCAAATTCTCGGTAATTTCGCTGCATACTCTGTTATGGTGCTCATCTGCATGATACATTTGTTTTTCGAAGTTTGAGCAAAGATCACAAGTACCGTGGGGAAAAAGTACCATCATGCGGTAACATGTGGTTGAAAAAAAAACTCAATTTACATTTCTGAAATTTTAGAATTTTATTTTAGAATATAAAGCAAGGTACCTAATATACGTTTAACAGAGTCCACGATAATTGATATAACGTTTCTTACTCCATATTCGCACTTGATAAAACCGCCAAATTATTTGAATTGTATCCACGCATTTAACAATGAAGCGCTTGTTGTCTTTAAGTACGCGGGTTTATCGACGAGACTCTGCGCCGTTGCAGCACCGTCTCTTCGCGTCACAAACTCAAAATTTGACCGGGTTGGATCGTGATCGCGAATTTCTTGTTGCTCTGCAGACATTTTACCGTCTTGAAGGTCATTTTACAGTTCCTTACGAGTTTGTCGTGCCCACTCCACCTACCGACGTGGATGCCGCCGCGTTTCCTTGGCCTCAAGAGACGTGGGGTATGAACCTTGGCAATCGTTTGCGTCTCTTCACTCGTGGTCGCTGTGGTCCGTTCAAGTGCGAGTTACTTCGCACCATTGGATTCCCATTCGACGACTGGAAGAGTTACGTCTGGGAGATGCAAATTATTCCATCACTTAAGGTCTTTCAAGAAAAAGAAGGTCATCTTTTCGTCCGTCAAAATTTTCAAGTGCCAATTGGTGACAACAAGTGGCCACGTGCCGCCTGGGGCGTAAAACTCGGCTCTCAATGTCAATTATTGCGTCGTGACGCTGCTGATGGTTTGTCAGAGCAACGAAAGCGAGTATTGGACGCCATGGGTTTTATCTGGAGTGATACTCAATGGAAGTGGCAAATGCAGCTTTTGAAATCCATGGAACACTACCGAAAATTTTTTGGACATTGCTCCGTTCATAAATCTTTCGTTGTGCCATCAAAAGACCCCTTTTGGCCAGAAGTTAGCTGGGGATATGGACTTGGACGTGCTATATCTAAGGTGAAAGCCAATATGGAAGAACATGCCATGACGCCGCGGGCTATGGAAGATTTGAGGCGATTAGATTTTTTTGAGGAAGGACTGGCTCTTAAAGTTTGGCGTGAAGCCTTACTTCCATGTTTGGAGCTTTATCCACGTATGTATGGAAACACATTTATCCAGAGAGACTTTGTCGTTCCCAGTGAGGCTCCATGGCCAGAACGTGCGTGGAATATGAAACTTGGCTACATCGTCGAAACAATTAACTCGAACCGCGTTTTTAGAGATGAGATGCATAGTGACAAACCAAAACTGAAAGAACTCGGGTACGCGTGGGAGTCACTTTTTGGAAAATGGGCCAAAGATTTTTTGCCGGCTCTGCGACTATATAAAGCCAAGTATCATCACTGCGACGTACCGTTGTGGTGGGTCGTACCTGCGACAGACGATTTCTGGCCTTCGACTTTACGTGGCTACCAATTAGGCAAGAATGTGGTGCGGGTTCGACGCAATGGACGCGGAAATCCTGATGTCGCCGATGTATTGCCGGAATTGGAAGCTCTTGGCTTTAAATTTAATGCGTTTGAAAGCAATTTTGTTGACCGTATACTACCTGCCCTTGAAATGTACGCAGAAAAGTATGGAGACACGCATGTACCTCAAGGTTTCATCGTTCCATCCAATGATACGTGGCCACGTCCGTCGTGGGGAACGAAGCTGGGCCACACTGTACGCAACATTCGCAACCGACACCAACATGTACAACAAATCGAAGTCTACCGCAATCGTTTGGAGAAAATTGGATTTGTGTGGAGTATCTACAAGTCAACAGCGGCTACGAAACGCGACATTGTCGATCCCAGCGTTAAAGTATTCAAGGAAATCTATGGGGAAGACGCAAAAGTACCTCGCAATTTTGTTGTGCCTGCAGACGATACACGGTACCTCAAAATCGCTAAGAACTTTGAGTTAGGCGCGTGGCTTACGCAATATAACAATCGCACGACCGGATTACTACCGTTTCAAACTCAAGAAAGCAAAAGAAAAGCAGCTGCAATGTATGACAAACATCGACATGCATGTGTAAGTGCGCGAGGAGAACTCACGCCATATGCGGAGCAATACTGGAACGACGTTTTGCTGAAATCGTTTCAAGCTTATGCTAAGGAACATGGTAGTTGTGAAGACATGGACAGTGGCTATATTGTACCACATAAAAAGCCATATCCGCAATCTTCTTGGGGGCTGAATTTGGGGCTTCGGATGCGTCATGTGCGTCACGGCATTCGCTATGCGAGGGAAACTACCAAATACAAAGAAGAGCTGCTAAATATTGGAGTGCTCCGAGATGGAGACAACATTGGGATGGCAAAACAGGCTGGCAACAATGTTAGCTGTAGTGACTTTGACGACGATGGTAGTGAGGTAATTGACAATAGATACTGCAAGGGTGACGATGAGTGTGAAGACGATGATGAAAGCGACGGGAATGCGAGCGATGAATTGCTATAAAAAGAAAGCTTTTATGAGTCACAAGTGTTCATCCATCCCCGTATAGACAATATACTACTTCAGGATGTACGGTATGCGATCAACACATCTCGTTGAGGCATTTTACATGGAGTCAACATGGAGTCAACTTATTATATTTTTGCTACTTGTAAAGGCGAGGTATACTCTGCGTTCGTTGTGCAGAAAGAATGTTCTCAATCCTATTTACAGTCTCTTCGATCATGCTGATACGCGACGAGTGTTGAGTAAGCGTACCCATCATCGTGTGGTGTTGCTGAGCGAGAAGCTCCTGTGTCGATGTAATGCGGTTTAAAAGCTCGGCGCAGGACATGTCAAGACCTTGAAGCTGTATAGGAGCAGTTTGGGCTGGTGCGGACTCTCTAGACTCTACACCGACTAAATCTGCGATACTGAGCTTCGACTTGGTCGAAGTTACGTCTTCAGTCGAGGTGGAGGTGGAGGAGGAAAGTTTCACGCTCGGATCTAGAAGTTGGTGGCGCGGCATTGCATTCGAAGCAGATGAAAAGGCATTTGGACGTAAATGACGCCTTCGGGAACTCCGCACGCTGCCGGTTGATGATAGACTAGACGTGTTTGAGCGAGGTAGTGTGAGGCGAAAATCTCCGTCTTCTAGCTCTTCTGGAACGCTTTGAAGCGAAGCTGTGCCTATTTCAGAGAATGACGGCATTGATTCCCGACGTCTCAAAGGACTAGAAAACGATTGACTTTTTGATTTGATAAACAGAGGGCTTGGTATCGAATACTCGCCTTGAAGCATTTTTTCAACGGTGGAAGACGCGTACGACAGCACTTCCATCGCTCGTAGCGGCAGCTTGTGCTTTGGCTTTGGATCCATAACAAAAACCGAACCAATAACGATACCGGTAGTAGGGTCACAGATTGCCGTTGACGCGTAGAAGCGAATGTTGGCTGAGCCCGTAACCAGTGGATTCTGGTTAAATCGAGGGTCTTTCGTGACGTCCATGACAATTGTTGGAAGTGACGTTTGCAGCAATTGCGAACAAAAGGCCACATCACGAGGCAACTCTGCCTGAGCGATGCCATATCGTGCCTTGTACCATTGACGTGTCTGATCCATGAAAGCGACGGCAGCCACGTTGCAGTCGAGAGCTTGTCGCACGAGTTCGCACACTGCATCGTATTCTTTTTCGGGTTCTGTGTCCAGTACATTCAATTGTGTGAGGATTTCGTGTCTTCGAGCTTCGTAAATTTTCAACTGTTCGTGCTCTGTAAGAAACTCAATGACGTTTTTCCCGTGTCCTCGACTGATGGACGATAAAAAGTTGCCTTTGTCAATTAATTTGGTGGTATCGTTCAAGTCGCTTTCGACATCGCTTAAACTCTTGCTACTTGAGAAGTCGGAAAAGTGGGTACTGATCGACGTGCAAGTGGAAGTTTGGGTACTATCCAATTGATTTTTTTTCATCCCTTTGCCTTGGATACTATTTTGCATTTTCATGACCTCAGTTTCGTCTTCTTTCTCAATAGACTCTAAGCGCTCCATGACGGGCACACCGACGTTAATACTGTCGCTCTCCGCAACAAGCATAGCTTTATCAATGCAGTCAAAACATAGTCGTACCGTCACTTCCAGCGTAGACGTTACGCGCACTTTTCGTCGTCGGTAACAATTGGAACACACAATTTCACCACAAGAGCGACAGTGACGTTTGAGCGAAAATGGGCGAAATCTGCGTGCGCAGTAGAAGCAATTGGGTCGTTCTTCTATCTTGACCCAGTTTTCCTTTCCCAAAAGACGCACCGACAATAAAGTAGACTTGTCGTTTAGAATGGTTTCAAGCCTCTCTTCCTCGTTAACATGATTTGCTGAGAGGCCTCGAGGTCGACGACTTCGAGTTGCCATTGCTGACTCAGTCAAGCGAGTTGGACGATAAAATACTTGACTAGATTAAAAGTGAGCAGTCCGGACGGATTTCTCACCCACCGACAACACGACGCGAAAGAGAGTGCCGGAGTGTCTAAATCGACTTTTGAAAGCAGTAGCTTTAATTATTTTGACGGCAACCTTTTTTTTTCGTCAAGAGGGCTCCATATTGCGGCAGAGTAGCTGTTCGTCCGTACGCATGTACTTTCTATCTGTCGACTATACCTACCTTATTATCAAAATGAGTCTAACATTATTGTAAAACCAATCGTATGATGTATACATAACATTTAGTGCTCACACAGCGATCGTATAAGCCAAAAGAACTAATCGATTCATCCATGAACAAATGCAAAAGGGTCCATGTGCTCGTGCGAAAGGCTGCGGGAGATACGAATACGACGTAAGCATGAACATCGAAGTCGACACGTTATGACAAAAAATGGTCACTTATTGCCGAGTGGTCGACGCAATCTAGACGCAGCTGGAACCAGAATCAGCAGGATGTAGTTTACAAGCACCATGAGAGATATAAAACTTTGTTTATTGAGATTATTTGGATATAATTAAGTCTTCATTTGCTAGCCTTGAACCGGATCATCGAGAAATGAATGAATGAATGCCATGAGCGACCTTTTATGTATCCTTGTGTCCCGTTGTGATCGCATGTCACGCGATTTGGTGCGCATGTTGTACGAGGACGGCCCATATCGGTATGACGGTCTCATCTGCTCGTAAAGAAACGGCTAGTTCATAGATAATCGAGCAGACACTTTCAACGATTGACCTAAGTGCTCGCAATGACGCAGTGTAAAATTTAGGTTCTAAGCAGGCGCGTCTCGACAATCGAACTCGATTTTGTTGAAGCTACACCCGTGCGTTGACGGTCACGCAATTTCGACAAACCTCCACGTTGTTTCTGCAACAACGTCTGTGAGTCACTAGATCACATTATTATCCCCGCCTCCATCTGACTCTCTCACTTGATGACAACACCAATTCTGTTTAGCAATAAGCGTCAAAGACCATATGCTTGTTCCAAGTACACGCACAAAATTTTTGCTTATATCAAGACGGATGGCGGATATTCCACGCCTTTCAATTACTAACGAAATACTCGTGTTTGGTCGAATTTCCGTCGACGATTTTTGCTAACGCTTCAGACATAGTATTAGGCATACAGAAGAAGACTGAAAGTTAGACTACCGAGCTTTGCGTCATTGATGGTGTTTATATGTGATGCATTATTTGTTCATAGAGTAACCACAACTTCGTCGTTAATTTAATTTTAAACGGAGTCTTCGACATACCAGATTGCTGCAAAATATACTGGGCATTCTAAATGGAAATGTGATCACTTATGCTTAGAATTTCACCAGACCTTATAGATCGAGCATGTGGACCTTCGGCGCAATGATTTCTGACTATATACTTTTTTCCACTGTCCCGGAATGATGTTTGCTGCGATTGCTCATCGCGACAAAGCTGTTTGCTTTATCTGATGATTTGTTATCAACAGATTTCTACCGGTGCATGTTCATCCTGCTTGTTATCCACCTTTATTTGAATTGAAGTATGCATTATGGGATAAAGTGAGCGAGCACACTCGATTGTTGCTTTGCACATCCGAGCCTATTTGCCGCTTTGACGGCTTTGAACTCGCTCGCTATTACCTAAATTATCCATCCTACAACAAAAAAAATCGATTGATCCCACCATCCTACCACTGTTTCTTCAACTCTTTTTTCACGACAAATCGACGTATTTCAAACCTGAGAAGCAGCCCTACCAATCGATGTCTTGTCGATGACAATTGCGTCTTACAGACCTTTCATATATGACACCATCAAATGTAGTCATCGATTGAAAAATTGGCTTTATCATTGACCTTATTCTTTTGATTATGAGCTTCACATTTTCCTTTATACAATTTCGGTTTTTACAGTAATGCAGACTCATATTGTTAGAAATTTGCTTGCACAATTAGAGCTCATTTTACAGGAAAATAATCATCTGCATGTTTTCTGAAAGCAAATATTAGGCTGAAAAAATATTGTGACTACAGAAGACTTAGTGAGTGTAAGATTAGCCGCTGCAAGTCATACCTGTTGAATACGTAAACTTTCTCAAAGCTACGGTATGATGGTGTACGTACATTACAACATTGTCACTATTGTCCCGCGGAGTAAGATCAAAAGTCAGGAAAACAACGTTTTCATGTCTATATGACATGATGGCTGCTAGCTTTACGCCACACAATTCATACGATCTCAGTATTAAAGAGAGTGTTGCTTTGAAACAACTGGAACAGTCGGTTAATGACAGGTTATTCGTCACGAAGCATTCAGTATCATAGGCTTCCACGAATGCAAAAGGCAGCAAGACATCCCTTCTATCAAGGCAAAAAAGAAGAATTTAAGCTATTGAAACCCACACGCTAGGATTAAGTTCTGGATGCTGATAGCTATCCGCCCTTTTTGAAACCAAGTTCCATGTCCGGCATTATACTATGGGGCCTTTTCGGGCGGTGGGACCTCCAGCCACCCAGCTTTAACAGTGCGGGTTGGCAGGACAGACACAATTTTTAGTTGCAATGAAACATGAAGGTTTGACATCACTTTAAACTGATTTCGTTTTGAATATATATACGCCGTCAAATATAAGAGTAAACTTACAGCGTGAGCTATATAAAAGGCTCTCGGCTTTGCTCCAGGATAGATCATACGAAACCATCATCTGTGCTTTGAAAAAAACGTGCTTTGGAAACGCGATGCTTCAAATCAGATACCCCTTTTGTGCAATGTGCACGATATCCGTAGTACTTGGTAGCACTGTCGTCAATCTGGCCACCGCGTCTTAATCCGACTAGATTCAATGTGGACTAAATACGTGTGTTTTATAGCGTATCTTCAGGACAGCTAGATACGCATGCACGCATGCAATGGGATAGTTGTGCAACTTGCACAAGCTTCGAATTAAAAAGTTCGCGTTAACGAACGCTTAGAGGTTGGGTTGTATGCTCCGCTCCACCCAGTAGCAAACCGAGTGCGTTTAGGTTAAATGGATCTAGATGTATCTGCATGTTGTGACTGACATGTATTGACGATCAGTTTATTCAAACAAATACTGTATAAACGTTTCGCTGCATCCGATAATAATGTATCTTTCTTAGTGTGCCTATCACGATTTCAGAAGAACAAACCGAGCTATCTGGACCTGAGATCCAATTAATTAGTGACGAGCTGGACTTTGTCGTAAGCTTGGCTGCGGGGTGGGCAACACTTACTACCTGTCGTAAAATAGGAACAGAGCTTCGATCACGTGCAGAAAGGATTTGGTGCATGCCTTCTGGTCAGTAAACGGCTAAGCCGTGTGTCTTCAGGTGAGGGCTAAGATACTGAATCAAGATTCGGAGGGTCGCTCCGACGCGTTCTTCGGAGAGCACTTCAGTATGGCCTCAAGGGCATGGATCGCATAGACCGCGCTTTTCTCGGAGGTACATAACGGGTAGGAACTTCGACGTGGGAACGCTCTGAGGAGGAAGTCATGCTGATTTCATGGAGTGGAGTGCAACTCCGCGCGCAGTGGGTTCATTTAGCCTTCATTTTCTTAAGCTACGTTTTAAGAAGAAAAGGAAATATGTTTTCTGTGTAGCTCACATCTTGGTGGGGGATACCGAAGTCCGTACACTTTTCACGTTTGTACAACTATGTGAACACAACATAATACAATCGTATAAAAGTCACGGAACACTTATATGTGTTTGTATATTTTTGAAAGAACCAATAAATTTAGCATTCATGAGGATAACTGGTTTCCGCAAATAAAAATTCTGATGTATTAGTTTTACGGTAACCAGCAAGAGCAGCGGTGAAAAAAATGGTTTTTCCATGAGAGCGGTACCTTGAATACTGAAAGCTGACAAAAGTGCCGGAATATACAGCGCGTGGTTCGTGCACTGGTGAGGATAAAGTGTCGTCTCAGCCTTCTAATCGTTGTAAGCCAGCATCACTGGAGTGAACGCTAGACTAACGCGTCTTTACAGGCTTGACTCTAGAAAGTATAACGCGCGATGCGAACATCGAGATGGAACCCTATCACGTTAAGTTATGCAATTGACAGCCTCTTCGTCTGCAGAGAAATTGATCATGTATTGAACTTATTAAAGGTCAGTTTCCACCTGCAAGTCAGAATTCTCTATATTGAAGCCTTAAACTCCCATGCCTTTTTCGGTGGGAAATTAGTTTTTGCTTCAGCCCTGCTGAGATCATCGCCCCCTGACCAATTATTTTGATCGAGGTCCATTCCTTGCTCATCGAGCAGTGCCGGCGGGGGTCGACCCTCCCACAACTTGCTCTCGTGGGATCCACCGGTTAAGTAAGCACGTCGAATCTCTTCTAGAATCTCGGTGTTCATTTTAGATATGCTCACCAAGCTTTTCATCGCATTAAGTCGCTTACGACACATGAAAAACGTGTCGCTATCGTTGTATTGTCGTCATCATCGTAGTGAACATCAATTTACCAGAATAGATGAAAATCAGACTATACGATCACGTCGCAAAATCAGGGAGCAGCAAATCTCCAGGGGATGGTTGGGGCGTTGCTTTGTCTATTCGAGAGCGCAGCACCGATTGGCTTGCAGGAGCGAAGTTGGGATATGGCTTTAGCAAGTCCATGTCATTCCAGAATGTGTTTGCATTCTCTCTATGTTTCTTTGTCGCTACGACCGTAAATAGACTGACAGAAGTTTTGCTTGATATTGGTGTATAGTGCGATAACCACTTAAAATGTGGGTTTTTGCACGCTCTTTGACATCAGCATGATCCTTTTGAACATAATCGCGATCTTGGCGCATGGCGCTCAAATTCATTACGATAAAATTCTCAATTTTGCTACAATGTATAGCAAAGCTGGTATCAAGTCAGATTGTATCGACAGCCCTTCTCCTTCCAAGACCAGACTCATGTTTGGCGCCACAAATTGCGTTAATAGTTTTGAGCTATGCACAGCACTATTTATTGAATACTCAACGAGTTGGAGCAATCCACTCCTGCGGCGCATTTTTTTCACGCAAGTACTTCGATCCGTATTCTCCACCTACCGATCAGAGCTCTTTGCCTGACCATCTGTTTGTCGATGGTCAGCGGCTGACATGCCTAATCTGATGATTCATACGTTACCAAAGCTTTTCTCTGTAGCGCGGATCTCAATCCGACACACGACTACCGGCAAGACATGCTGGTAAGAATTTTGTCGAGGAAATCTTAGCTGTATTCTTATCACGCACGGTACTGCTGACAGCACAGGATGAACCATCTTGCTCAAACAGACCAAAAAGACGGCAATGTTGAAATGACCGAACACGTCTTTTCGAGACCGTGTTGACTAAAAGTACTCAGCAAAATCGATAAACTGATCAAAGGTGCCGCCGCATGCGCCAAGGGTTTGCCGCGGATACGTTTCAAACGTGCACAGATACTCGCTTACCCACTTACATATGTCGGGTCAGCAGTTTGTACTATTTTTTCCAAAGTGGTCAGGTCTTGTGCCTCGTACGGTATTCTGTACTTGAAGTCCTCGTCATAAGTGACCGCCACGCGTTGAATTAATGTTAATGACGAACCTTGAGTAAGTAATAGCGATGCAAATGTGCCACCGAACGCTATTTGAGAGCGGTATGACAGTTAAAAAAGCTGCTTCCTTCCCAGCCAACGCAACATATCTTGTGTGCGTTGTAAGAATCGCCTCATTGCTTACTAACTGGAGTTTAAATCATGGCATGTGAACTATATTTCCTAGGCGACGTGATAGCGCATCCGCCATACACCGGGCTAATACATTTTCCTCTTGAATATATATGACAAAGAAATGTAATGTCGTTTTATGGGTGAAATGTGGAGACGACGTTGCTGTGTGCAAGATCAGTATATGTAGATCTGTATAGATTACAAATGGCTTTGAGTCAAGCTGGTGCATAATGTAAGGTACAGTCTATGGAAAAGGCTGAGTGCCACAGTCGATATAAAGCGGCGCATCTGGTTCTGATAGAGACAGAATCGGGGCATGCAGAAGAGTTTATTTCATAGCCACGTTATCTGCCGCACCACCCGAAATCATTTGTCGGTCTTCTGATCCATTTTGATTCGTTTAATTTGGAAGCAGCGCCTGCTGGCAGATTACTCAAAATAAAGACGTGGTAAATTCGTTGATGCCTTTATCCCAATAGGACTTGTAAATGTGGCTCAACTAACTGATTGCACAACAATTGTGCAAATTATGCCTGCTTTTTATTCGCCAAAGACACGCTTTGAATTTCGCAATTCGCACTGTCATGCGTATACTTGAGCACCGCTTGTGAGTTCTAATTTTGTTCTACACACTCAACTTCCCGTTCTACATCCGACTATCGACGCAAAACTCGTCGAAATAGATTTGTGTATGGGCACGTGGCCTGGACAACTGCGTCGCCAGACGATTAAACATCGCTAATATGTTGGAGATCCTCCGTGGCTTATACAGCCATTTTTTGAATATCTTGTTAAGAGTGCTGAATGTCTCTCATAAGCAGTTGATACTCGCAATTACCCAGGTCACGAGCATTAAACAAAATACGATCGACCATGCTAATCTGCTGCACATCTTTTCTAGGATGCAGTGGCTAGATCTGCTTTTTATTAGCGTGCAAAGTTCGCAAATTTCCGTTTGACTGCGACACAAATTGTCGGTGCCAAGTGGTGTGATTTACTGCCTCTCTCACCAAAATTCCTTCGCTCTTTGCGCGAAAAAACGTATAAAAGATGTCACGGTTAGAGCAGTTGATATTTTACGCACTAATTGATTCGGGTAGTCAAGTTAATCTCATAGCGCACTCGTTGATCAGGGGCAGACGCCTGTCTCCTCGTCGTAATATCTCCTCGACAGACAGTAAATGGTTAGTTTTCGAAGCCTCGGACTTTGTGCTCAGCAACTTACCTCGATGACACAAAAATATTTTTTGATTGCAATTTAATAGCTTAGCTTGTTCTTTCATACCAACCGTACCATTCGGTGAATGACATGTTGCATTTTTCAAAAACACTCAGTACAAAATAATCCTTCCAGCTTAAAAGATGTATGCTTGAGGCCGTGAGGAGAGTGTTAAGGCTAGTCGAACCGTCCGGTCTCTACTTCATTTCATATCTATGCAACCTCTTTGATCTATGGAGCACGTCACACGGTGGCAATGACCCAGCTGCACCGCCAAATTGTAGCAAGGATAAATCACCCAGTATGATTTGAGTGCTAGTCCTTCTGCTTGCAACATACAGTCGCTCTTCAATTCCATTGGATCAGGAATTGGAGTTTGTAATAGTCAGTCGATTCTACCCCCTCCTTATAAACCTTGGAATAGGATACAAAGACTCATAGCCGGTCATCAGCGCACGCCAAGAGAAACAGTCTAAAGACCACGATATACTGTCGCAGTTTCGTCTTATTCTAAGACTTTGACTTACAGTCGCTTCTCACAACCGGGATTCGTTCGAAGCACCGATCAAAAATCATCGCCTTCAATTTAAAATCAATCACATGTCCAGCACAGACGCTATCGCGGGGTAATGCTTTCGTCAAGAGCTCTTTTATTTGCTGTCAGAGGTGGGTTGATGACTCGCTAAAGTACCACCAGAACAGAAGCGCATGGCCGTGAGTTTTTGTTATTTTAAGTTGACCCCTAAATCGTTCGTCTTTTTCCAGATTAGAAGTTGCTCGTAAACATCGACCATAGCACAATACATAATGAATTTATCATTCAATATCCTCGGGTTATTACGCAGGTGAGCGAAATTCTATGCGATCTAACGCGGGGTGGAAGCGGATCAATGGAACGTTTTGAAGAGTAAACTCGACGTCATCCTATGCTGGTATTATCACGCTTCTCTAGGCATTGGTTCGGCCACATTTAGGGTGAGATCTTAAATCCATGTCCAGAACTAGATAATATTCTACACTATTGAA